CTAGTGAATATTCTTATGATCAGCCAAGTAATACTGACGATGCTAATAATCCTTGGAATCTTGCTCAAAAATATAAGATTATTTCATCTAATGGCACTATCGGAGAATCAACCCTTATTGAAGCACCTGATGAAAATACAAATTTATTTACGATGTTTAGTACTTCTATTTTAGCAGTATATTTCATGCTAACAGGTATTATATATTAATATTTGAATAAATTTTGTATCCAAAAAAATAATAATATTCTTGTTTTTAGGCGATACAAGTGCAGTTACTTCATGGGGTTTAGTCAATAATTGGACTTTAACATTTTTATTAGTTATATTTTCATTTTTCACAACAATCTATCTATTGAATCTGTTTATTTCATTACTTGGAAATGCTATTAATGATACGAATAATGAAGAATCTTTCTTGCAATTAAGAGGAGAGGTAAAAATTTTTATTTATATTTTATAAATCTATTATGGATTATAACTTAAAAAATTTAAAATAATCATTAATATTACTAGATATTATCTGAAATCGAACTTTTTTGGATGTTACCTCATCAAAGAAGAAAGAAAAACTGGTTTCCGGAAATTTTGTAATTACATATTTGGATTTATTTATGTTGCAAATATTATATATATGCTAATATTTAATTTTAATAATTAGATATTATCATGCTTCAATTCATGAACTTAGAAAATATGTAAAAAATCTTAAAGATGAACAAAATGATGAAATTTTACAAGATTTACTTCCTGCAATCAAAAAAATCGTTGAGACCAAAGACTCAACCGAAGATTTAACCGAAGATTCAACCGAAGACTCAACCAAAGATTCGACCAAAGACTCATCAAAAGACTCAACCGAAGATTTGCCCTATGATCTTATCGCGCAAAATTTACCTGAAACTAAAGACTCGACCGAAGACTCAACCAAAGGCTCAGCTGAAGGCTGGCTCTATGATCTCATGGCGCAAGAATAAAAACTAGAAATTGCTTTTTAGATATAAATTGTAAATTAGAAATTTCACATAGAATGTTATAACTGATTAACGTTTTAATTAAGAAATCATGTGCAAAATAAAGATACCGGTAAATTATCTAATAGTAAAAGTTTTCTGTATATCCATAGGGCATTAGGGTTGTCTGTCAACTAAGTAAATCAAAACTATATGTGGTCACTAATGTCGGAGTTTACTGAAATTTTTTCATTAGTGTGATTAATCAGTAATATATTTATATAT